ACCAAACCGAGATATATTCCACAAGTGTCAAAAGGTTTGTCTCAACTGACCTTTTTTAAAACCATGTTGTTCATCACAAAAATACTTGTTAATCTGAGCGTATATATATTTATGTAAAATACTTTCAAATAGTTTAGCTGGTGACGAGGCAATTGCGACAGGTCGATTCTCCTCCAGCATTGCTTTCTTGGAGCTTTTGGGAATGGGCGTAACCCTTGAAAGTTTCCATCTTGAGGGATAGATACCGGACGTCAGAGAAGCATTTAAAATATGATATAGTGGGACGGAGAAGACATCTCTATATATTTTAATAAAATCTGGCGGGATACCATCAGGCCCAATGGAACTATTAGATTTCAATTGTTTAATACCAGAAATGACGTCATTTAAAGTTAGACCAACAATATCAATACTATCGTTAAGACAAGATTAATTATTTACAAAATATTCTTAACATAATTAAGAAAAATAATATATATAATAACTAACACCTATGTACACCAAAATAATTTTTAAATCAACTAAAATGATTATTTATATTCTACGCGAGAAACGTATATGTTAAAACCTTAAAGTCTGAATAATATTTTCCCCACACGACCAAGATTTCCTGTTTAATATGCGGATATATTCTGCGCATATTTCCGCCCCCTTGGATCCGTAATTTATCGCGTAAGGGTGGTTGGACCAACCCTTAAAAGAGACATGTGTTCTGCTCTGGCGGAATACAAAAAGGTTTCACTGACGTTATATGAAAACACAGCTTATTTCTTTTGATAATACGAAATATGAAGTTCGGTACATTTTTTTATTTATGTGTAAATTTACCTGATGTTATCATCCCAAACCAAGATAATTTATAAACATTAATATATTGAAATAACACGAGTTCAATGATTTAAAACTCGAGATATATTATTTAACTGATTTACAGTTTATTTGACTTTGATATTTTGTAGCAGCCATGGTCACGGGGGGGATGCGTAAAAGTGTACTTCAATCCGTAAACCCAGAAATCCGTAGAAAACAAAAAATCTTAATCTGTAAAATAATTAGGTTACTAAGTGTTTAAAAATATGTTTCACAACACTTTGACTAACTATTATTATAAAATAAGAAACTTACTTGAATTAAATATTTTCTCCTTTAGATTTATCAACTATTTTGTTTAAACTATATTTTAGCACAAAAAACTTGTATTGTGTCTATAAAAACGTAACTGATAGCTCTTATAATATATAAACTTTTAAAATATATATAGATTCTTTATTTTCTTTATTTCATTCATTTTATAGTTTTCATAAAAACCTAAAAATTTACAGTCTTGCACTTTTACTAATAATGATTTTAAAACGAAAATTCAATGCAATTTAGTCGAAAAATATATAAATCTATAAGCTCAATTATTTGAAATAGTACAAAAATATCTGAAGACGTACATATAAATGTTCGATTCAAAATTTATCTTAGTCAAGCTGAGTAAGATTTCCTCTGTCATTGGATAATTTATCATTCACGCAACTGGCTGCAAAGTGCCTTCGGGAGTTAGGGGATGATTGAGTCTGGAGCATTTTGGGGCGGCCTCAATTGATTTCTCATTACGTATTGTGGTTTGTTTTAATTAGAGTGTCTTTGAGTGTGATCCGATTAAAGAAATTATTATACTCTTTTAAATAAAACACTTATACGTTTAAAACGCAAAATATATTAGTTAAACTTATTTGAAAATTATTTTAACTACGGCCCGACGTTTCGGATGCTTCAGCCGTGGTCAAAAGGAGACAGTACATAAAAATAAAACTCGTCAAAATAAGTTTCAAACTCTAATCATGTAAAATTATGAATCATTATCAAGAAAGGCTTTTCGCCTAACTTTTTCGAGAAAAAATCTTTCTGTTTGCTTGTTGGAAAGTAAAACTCTATAGCCATTTAATAAGTCAAAAAAAAATTTTGAATGCCGTTTGTAGTTAACGCGATAGTTAGTATACATTTAAATAAAACACTTTAACGGCTTAAAAAAGTATAAGCTCTTTCTTATGTAATGCGGCCTATATCTATTTTGCTACCCTCATATGATGAAGATTAAAAAAAAATGCGAATTCTTGTCACGTAATCAATAAATATTATCGTCCTAATGTAAAAATAATTTGTCAAGAAAGCGACGTCCGTATTTCGGATTCTTCTCAAAGTTTTTCAAATAATAAAAGTTTGGAGCTAATTTGTGAAATATATATCCTGCTCCATTTGACTTCTCGGCAGTTTATTAAAAGTTTCGAAACATCTCTCGTCTCGAGAGAGTAATTTTGTATACTTGGGCAAAGAATGACAACTAGTAATACTTTTTATGCATTAAAAGTTCAATAGAATAAATATAAAATAAAATATATATTAATATTTTTATATATGTCGGAGTTACGTTGTTTCTTGGTCCTCATTGTCGGATACAGGATTGTGAGAAATAATAATAGTCAGTTCCTTGGAGGTGACTTATACGATATGATACTGAACCCGACTCAACAATGGCTCCTTTTTATTATCGTTGCCCTCTCCCGTTGCCTAGACTCTGTACAGTCAGTGAGTTTGTGTGTTGACGTCCCGTGATGACGATGACATATACATATAAAATAAATAATTTAAATACATGTGAGAATGTGAATCTTTGACGAAAATAATTTGAAATAAGTAAATATAGTCTGCATTCATAATAAATTTAAATCTATACTAATATATAAAGCTGAAGAGTTTGTTTGTTTGAACGAGCTAATCTCAGGAATTACTGGTAGGAATTGATAGGACATTTATCAAGGAAGGTTATAAAATATTTCGCTGCGACGCTGCGGTGAAAAAACAGTGAGAAATGTGGAGAAGAAGGGTGAAATTATTTAACGATTAAACATGCCCGAACAATACAAAAATGTTTGCGACAGTTTATGTATGTCTATAATTTATAAAAATGAGGAGTAGCTATTATACGCGGACGAAGTCGCTGACATAGCTAGTTAAATTTATATTGAGTATTAAATTTTTAGAAAATCATGAAACATAAAAATCTTTAAAAAAAATACTTATGTAAAGTAATTATGACTAATTCACCGTTCTCTTGCTAAGGGATGAAAATGTTTTATAAATGTGAATGGGGTTGTGTGGAGTGGCAAAATTTCGTCCGTAATATCGTTAGGTGCGGCAAATTACAGAAAAATGTTGTATTGCCTCGTGGGAATTATAAATATACTAAATTTTGTAAGGCTTTCACGGCCATCGTTCAGCATATCATTGTTTTGCGGGCTGTTAATTCTTCGAGCAATCGAGGAGCTAACATCTTTTGAGGATTCCGTAAGCTAGTGATGGCGAAAAGTCGAGAACAATGAAAGTTAAATAAATATATTTATCGTAAGAAATGCAAAAAGCGTAATACTGTAGTCCTTTTAAACAAATACTGTCTGTACGCGAGTAGTGCACATTTAAATGAAACACTTTCACGGTTTAAAACGCGATATATATTAGTAAAACTTATTTTAAATTATTTTAACTAACATATAACACATAACTATTTGTGCTGTTATTGAAATTAACAATAATGTATTGTCCCTTCCTCTGTATAAGGGTAAGACAGTCTTTGTTACAAATGTCCTTTATTCGATAGTAAATGGAATAAGTAGAAATCGATTTCGATCGACAATTATTACCATTGCATATATGCTTTGCGGTTGCATATCCTTGCTAAGATCCTTGATTGTTTGCGTATTAATTGCTAATTAGTAAATCAATTACTGTCTAAAGCGTCAGTTAACCAAGATTATCTCTAGCTATTAATTACAATTAGGCAAATACAGTATTATAATAACATAATTATTAAATAAAACTCTTTAACGGTTTAAAACGCGATCTATTAGTTAAACTTATTTGAAAATGATTTTTAACTTCGGCCCGACGTTTCCCCGTGACCACGGTTGCTGCAAAGCATCCGAAACGTCGGGTGCAAATAAGTTCAACTAATTTATCGCGTTTTAAACCGTAAAAGTGTTTTTTAACTGTGTATTACTCGCGTAAACTATAGACAGTATTTAACATAATGATTCCCGAAAATATATAAATACATGATACTTTATTGGCAATTGGAACTTAAGCCAAGAGCGTACAAATTTTCAATGGCCCAATCTAAAAATAGATATGTAAAAAATATACTCTACAAAGTACATTGCCGCGTATGTGAAAATTTAATATTTTTATTTGGAAACGAATACATCGCACTAGATAGAATGTTCATGCATCGCTTACGGAACACTTATTAAATTGAATGTTTATATGAAAAGCTGCAATATCACTGTATGAAAATTGAATACATTTCAAACACACTAACAAATTGTTATAATGTTTACGCAAACATAAAAAAGCATACTACTTGTGTAATTAAATTTGTTAAAACATTAGGTATTCGAATTCAAAACTATGCAGAAGTTTTTTTTTTTCAAAGTTTTACACGTTCCAGTTTTAAATTGTACTACAGACATTATCACGTTTATTTACTCCAGTCATAATATTTTAAATAATTTCTAGAGAGAGCTGTATTTTTTTGTGATAGAGGAATACAGACAATCGCGTCGTTCACTTGAAGCTAACTGAAATACCTCCTGATAAATAACATCTAAACAAGATGCAATGTCGACGTATTTTGGCTTTGGATATTCGGAAATCCACAGACTGAAACACAAACCTGATTAAACTTCACGGCTTTTATATCTGTGGACGATGGTTCGTAACCCGGACGGAATGTCGATATTCTTACCACCTATTTAAAAACGACTTCGTTTGGAAATCTTGAGGTAGTCCAAAATGTATTAGAAAAAATTTTAAATATAATATAAACATATTGGATCCTGTGGGATTGACCCGACAGCCCGTTGATTATTAGTCCTGTAATGCTAACGTGAGACCAACGAGCCTGTCCCATATGATAACGGTTTTAATGAAACGATACGTAACCATTATACATATTTCAGGTGGTCTCATGGCTTGCTTTTCCATCAAGCTGTAGTGGACTGCGCGCGCGCTGCTATACTGCTACCACTGGGAATTGCTGTATTCCGATGTCAACCCGTCTACAAATGCTCTTTGGTGGAAACGGCTTTTCTCTTACTGGTGAGTTTTAACCAAAGCCTAAATAAAACTATATGAAATTAAATATAATATTATACACTGTCTGTAGTTTACGCCAGTAATACACATTTAAGTACAACACTTTAATGGTTTAAAACGCGATATATATTAGTTAAATTTAGTTGAAAATGATTTTAATCACGGTAGTTCCATCCGTTAAAATGTTAAAGAGTTTAATTTAAAAATATAATATTGTTTAATGTAATCTTAAGAAATCGTATTGCACTTTTTTTATAGTTAAACTTTAAATCTGTGACGAAGGTGATAACTTATCGATATTTTAAAGAAGCACGTTACACAAAACAACATTTAATTGAACTATCTTTGAAAATACGAACAAACCATTTAATATTTAGATTACAATATATTCCTTAAAACTAAGATAAAAAAAGAAATCGAAAAGCTGTTTGTGTCGATAATAGTAGAGATAAGTTGTAAATATTTCTAACTTGTAACGAGTTATGTGGTTACAGATTTGATAATTAAAAGCGATAGCATACAAAGTTTTCCCATCACAAATTGCGAATGTATAAGTTTATTCTAAGTAAAGTAACAAAACTCGACAAAGCAACACTGAACAGACACACACATTAAAATTATGTAATCATACATTTCCTGTGTGGAAAATATGAAGCCGTGGTATTACTGCGGTTATAGTATAAGATCCCAAGAAGAGTTTGCTCTTACTACTCTAGCACAAAATATTAAAATAAGATCATATTAAGTGGATAATAGGTACGTTAAATCACGTTTATATTACATTCCTATGAAGAACTAGACATATCTTAATATTGCCTTCATTTTAACGGTTTTAAACCCGAAAAGTATTAATAAGCTTTTTAATTAACTTACGATTATTTACCTTTAAAAAACAATATGGACGCCATCATTTTAGAATTGTTCCGTAGGTGGAAGGAAGATAATAATTATAATTTCAGTAAAACGTTAACCGTTTACAACGCAAAATAAATAAGATAACTCATTTTTATTTCAACAACGGCCCACCGTTTTGGACGTTTTGAAGTAGCCGTGGTCGCGAGTAGATTTTTTTACAAACTGAGTACTACTTAGAAATTACTTTTTGCTCATGCTGATGCTGAGTCATACTGAAAAATAATTTATGTATGTTATTTGATTTATTTATTCCTAGTCCTACCAGATATACTATGATAGTATGATAAAAAGTAAATTAATAAAAATCGTCGCGGCGACCACTAGGTTTCGCTCGAGTAACTACAGATTTAGCATCATGAGCTCCTATACTATTTAACTTGGAGCTTAGCCAAGGTACCCCTTGAATTATGTTAAGGAACCTCTAGTGCATTCAACTTTGGATTATAGTACTAATATAAAGTGATTTTAGTATTCACGTCAAGGGTCTATAAAGCGTTATAATTCTATTTACGTTTAAATTAACAAAACGCGATTGACAGACAGAAAGTTTATGTTAGAATCTTGTTTAAAAAGTGATATTAAAACGTGGCCACTTTAAGTGGGAAATACATAATTTAATTGAGTTATAATTAGATTTTGAGATTATATTTTTTTAGTTATTGTACTATATTCTTTTACTTTTATGTTCCTTCCCTTAATAATATATTTAGGGGTGTATGTGATAACGATGTGATTCTCTGTTTCAATTCGAAACAGTAGTTCCTGAGATTAGCGCGTTCAAACAAATAAACACACAAACAAACTCCTCAGCTTTATTAGTATAGATTACGTAAATCCAGAGCTATTTATCTAATTAAGTAATTTATACCAAAAAGTTTTAATTGCTCATCGCTTATCTCTAATGTTTCTTAGTGTTGCCTGTTTACGGGTTGCTAAGACTCCCAGATAAGTCATTCGCATTGCGGGCAACATTGGCAAGTTGCCCTGTTATCATTTGGCCATCGAGACGTGATCGCTTTTGGTTATAGAACCTCGCTGTTAGTACTAAAAATAAACCCTTTTCAGCTTCTGCTTAGACTTGAGTAGTTTCAGTCCTTGAACCTAAAAAGGAAGTTGAGTGAAAATGTTTTTATGCTTTACAACCAACTACTTCTGGGCTAATGGTCCCAAAAGCTGATCCACAGGTCGTTATTGATAATTAATAGGATTATTTCTTCTAGAATGTCTGTACTATGACAAAACATAGATCTTAGGATTGTTTATTGTTATGTCGGGATTCGAACTCGCTCTCGTCTAGACTATCATGTATTCATTTGATGAAAGGACAAATACCATAGACTGAAATCATTGTCGTAGTCGATTAAGCTTCACGGCCTTTTCATCTGCGGGCGGTGGTTCGATATTCCTATCATCCATTTTATAACTAAATTTCCAGACGAGGTCCAACATGCTTCATCTTATAAATTGATTACGAACATGTTGGACCTGGTGGGAATCGAACCCACGATCCATAGCATTGTATTAGATCTCTATCTAATCTAGTAGTATTCTAGTAGACTAACGAGTTAGTAAAAAGAAATATTAAACTATTGGACGTAAATGTGAGTTCAAAACACTTAAAATATTATCGAAATGCAAATTTCTGCTCAAAACTCGATTTGCAGCAGGATTCGAATTTCAGCTCCATAAAACTCTCCAAAGCTCGATTTTATTTTGGTTTAACTCTGAATTATTTATAACGCAAACCGTCGAGACGCGAAACTTATTACGAACTTTTTACCGTTCTCTGGAGATTCGCTAATTTTGAAACTTTAATTTGAACGCGGAGGGGAAATACTTAAGATTGTTTTAATTAAGCGAGCTTAATTAATTTAAACCAAATGTTAATACATGCAATAAGGCACTTATACTACACTGGCTGACCTGACAGAAGTTCGTTTGCCAAATGAACTAGCTGTGCTAGCGACTTCGTCTGCGTAGAATAGTTATTTTGGGCATCAATATTAGTTTTTGCTAACCTTCTGTTTAATCTTAAAAGAATGACGTATATCATCGCGATCATGTTTTTAGATCAATTAAATAGGAATAATTATTATTATTTTAATATGTATCTTGAAGGGTTTTCCCCATTTTATTCACACTTTGAACTATTTCTTTACTCCTATTAGTCACAGCACGATGTTTTACAACCTATAGCCTTCCTCGATAAATGATCTAATCAACAAAAAAGAATCAGATTTTTTCAATTCGATCCAGTAGTTCCTGAGATTAGCGCATTCAAACAAATAAACTCTCCAGCTTTATATATTAGTATAGATGTCGACTAAATTTGTTTACCATAAAAACGGTTCCTGTATCTTAAAAGATAGATATATTATATCGTTGCGTTGATCGTTAAGATTATTTAATGAGAATAATTATTTTCTACATATTGATTCGGCATCTGGAACTGTTTTCACAAAGATCTGATACGTACCCTCAGGAAAAAATCTTATTAAGAGACCCGCATGTTTTCGAATAAAAACACGACAGATATTTTTATAAAGCAATTTTAAACGCGAAATAAATAGTTAAACGTTGGACTATTATTAAATTAAATTTTACTAATACATATTGCGTTCCAAATCATTAAAAGTGTTATTAAAATATGTTCTACTCGCGTAAACTACAGACAGTACTTCGGTTTAGACTTATCTACCCTCCGAAGAGGCCGTAGTCCCAGCAGTGGAAATTATTGAAGCGATAATAATTCTAATGAGCCTCCGGTCCATATGTTGTTATCAGTCTCTGTCTCAATCGAGGTAGAACACTGTTACATCGTTACACATGTGTCATACATGAAATCTCGTTTAGAACGATCAGACCATCGAAGTATCATCTACAACATACACAATCTAGAATCGTCAATTGCCAGAGCATAAAAAATATTACCGTTAAAAGTATTAAATACATTGTACACACCTGTTGACTAAAATTTACACTTCATACACCAAATGTTGAACAGTATGGTTTAATTAATTTTAGTTTAATCTAAATTACTTTTTTAATAAATAAAATATAGTATTTCGACTTAGTAGGGTAAAAAGTAGGTAAATAGTAAACCATATGGTTTTCATTACTAAATACATTACTAATTACGTAACTAAATGCTAAACACATTAAATAAAATAATATTTTAACGGTTTAAATCGCGAAATAAATTACTGCGAGAACCATGCAATAACTTATAAAATTTATTGTTTTCATCCTATATTTTATCAATACAAAAGGTGTTTTACGACTGTCTAATTTCATCATTTCTACGAACAAAACATTAACATAATGTTTGTTACAGGTAACAGTATCAACGGTTAACATGTTAACAACGGTCCTAAACGACAGCCCTATATTCCCGGAGAATGAGGAGGAGCAAGCAGACCTCTCTGCGCCTCTGCTTATGGACAGTCCACAGGTAGAAAAATGCTTTGATCCTTCAATATTTATTAAAAGAGCTTGTCAACTAAATAGGTAAGTGGAATCCTTTTTCCCCCATGGGGCATGGGGCGACAATTATGTGTCGGTTTCACTGTTCGGCTTACAGGCAAGTAGTTGATTAGACTTTTGTACCCTGCCCGACCAAACAGTTTACCTAGGATTTGAACTCAGAACATTTCGCGTTAACGTAGACAACACGTTTAACCATTTGTTAATGTATAAGTAAATAAGATATGACGATTATGTATTCAAATTGAAAGGTGTGCAAAACATTGCTATGAAGAAAATAAGATAAAAAATGTATATATGAAAGTAAACTTAAACGCATAATGTAATAACAATATTATGAACAGTGAAAATCATTTAATTTTTCCACATTTTCTACTGTTTCTTCGATTAAATTTGGTCGCAGCGCGATGTTTATAGCCCAAAGCCTTCCTCGATAAATGTTCTATCTAACAAAAAAAAAAAAATTTTCAATTCAGACCAGTAGTTCCTGAGGTTACCGCGTTAAAACGGACAAACAAAAGAAAATAATGAATATTTTTTTTCATATGAGCCAACAGTTACCATCATTATTGTCTAAAATTGTTCCAGTGCGTCCTTTTCGGTACATTCATGATATGGTTCGCATCGATCACCATCAATCTGGGACCGACGTTCCTCTCTGGGGCTCTAGCTGCCAGTGCAGGGTCTTATGGGTCTTACGGACCTTCGCCGTCGTGCCCCTTAGTGAGAGGACCCTTCAGACATTATGTACTCAACGCTTTATGGATTGGAGTAAACGCAGTGTGTGTAGGCCTGACTCTCTTCCATTTGAAGAAGTTACACCGGGATTTGACTAAGGTGAATGTTTTATAGTTTTTTTTTTAATAATTGAAGCTTGGTTGGCCAAATTAATATGGACTTTTTCCGATAAAAATAATTTAAATAGATATACGTTTAATTTACTACTTTTAACCATGGTCACATTCACGTCTATGATGTGTTGGTAAGTGCTGGATCATGGTTAAGTTAATCATAATTATAAACAAATAGATTGGGTTTAAACCGGTTTAAAGATTTAATTATTAAGAAAGAAACATTTCATGGAATAGTGAAACGTAAAATCTCTCCAAATTAGAGAAAAATTACATCGCCAGAATTTTTACAATATAATATTTTTTTAAATTATTTTTATATACGATATACTATCTGTATATGTTGTTATATACAGAAACGTTTAAATTTACGGTATTAATAGTTATATTAAAGGTGGTATTTTCAAATTGCTCCTCAAAAGTCCCTATTATTTTGCACCACCGCTGGAGTATGCGAGTATTTTCTGAAAAAAAAAAAGAAAAATTTCAGAAGCCGAGAAGTACCCGTATAAAAGCTAGAGGTGTACTTTTAATTAGTGTGTGAAATGTTCAATCAACTGGCCAGAATGTTTGCCTCCGTACCGTTGTTCGCAATTGAACAAATAAATATACCAGATTTATTGGACGAAAAATGTTTACGAGAAAACCGTGATTTCATTTTTGCCTTCGAGTGTCTATCGCTTTTTGTGTTCGTTAATGTTTTGTCGGTAAACACGAATGTTTTGTTTCTATTGTTTAACAGGAAAAAGGCTAAAAAGACCTACATTCGTTGATTACACTTGTACTTATAATTGTGTATATTAAACCTTTTTTTTCTAATTTATTGAGTGCGGTAAACACAAACACAATTTTGAATAAAACACTTTAACGCTAATAGTATAAAACTAAAACGCCAATAGTGTTAGTTTAACGATTAAATCTGTACTCCTTGTGTTAAATAAAAATAAACATTTAATAACAGAAAAAAGTTAAAATTTAAAATTATTATATCAAAAGCGAGACAAGGGGTGTCTTGATAGCTTAACTTTTTTGTTGGTCATAAATTTGTGTTTTATTATGTTTCAATTTTATTACAATTTCAAGAAGCCATTTTTCCAATATGGCGCCGCGACCGTAAGTCGAAATGCGTTAAGTACATCGAAATATATATAATCACCTCAACTTAGTAACCTCATTTTTAAGCACCAAATGATAAATTAATAAAAGTATTGGTATCATAGGAACTTAGTCCACTGACATCAAAAAATACCAGTCAAGTATCAATAAACAAATTGAAATTGTCGTTATAAAACTCCAACGCAAAAGATTCAAAGATACACCAATATTTTTTATTGATCCTACAAATCCTATTGACCAGTTGATTGAACAGCTAAATCCGCAATCATTCATTGCTTACAACATTGCTGTAGGAATGCGATCTCGCAAATGTAGTATACAATTTCACTGCGTTAACACGAAGAAATGTTTTTACGTAAGATTTAAATTGAACGCTCCACCTTCGGGGATATTTGGCTTAACGCTGACTGGAGGTTTGGAGTGGATAATTTAAATCTTATCGCATGCAGGCTAACGTAGAGGCAGTTCGTGTAGCTGGTTTAGTGACCACGCTGGTCAGCATGGCTGGCGACAATCGTCGGATGGACAACCTTCCAAACAGCGTGGGACCCAGGGTAACTATTGCATGGAGTTGCACCTTAGTACAAGCGCACTTACCCTTTATAAATTGTAAACTAAAACTTCGAATAAATAAGAAAGAGTTACTCGATTCCACAATTGTTTTTTGACATCGATTAAAATTAACGGACCGTTAAACTAGTGACTATCAAAAAATCTAAATAACAATTAATAGCTGTGACTGTACAGGCGGTTAGTTCTTAATCCATGTCAGTATTTTTTGGTGAAATCGGGCTTAAAGTTGTTGCAAAACAATATGTAAAAAAACACCTAAAACGATTTCCTGTTAAAATCCCTTTAATCGCTGTTGTGTAAACATTTATTTAGGCCTCTCTTAATTTTTTAAATGTCTTTCTTATTTTTATTGATACATAATAAATATAATATGCTTTAGTTTCTTTGAATCGTAACTATATTTAACAAGAAAAGAGGTCATGTTGTTGGTTGACATTATTTTTATTATCATAGCAAAACATTTCGTTTTTCGATTAACAAAATTTTTACGATTTACTTGAATTATTAACTATTTCTTTTAGAGTTATTCTTTGAACTTCCTCTTTAAAATAGCCTTCCAAAAGATCTACTAGTTAAAGATGCTGATTTTTAGTCAATCTATTTAAATATTTTTAGACCGTTGATGGCACGCTAGCTGATGGCCACTGCCGGCCAACTGGCAGTGCCAACCTGCCATTGGGCGGTGGTCGCAGATTGAGAGGATATCTTGCGAGAGTGGAAAGAGAAGGAGTGCGAAGAGTTAGGATGTTCCTGGTGATAACAGCTGCGTATGTGCTGTTCTGGGGTCCTTTGTTTATTATTACCCTTTTGCACCATCCTGCTCTAACATCTCATGTGGCATATGAGGTGAGTTTGAGGTTTACGTTTAGTTGTAACCAGAAAAATGTGTTGTGAAACGAAAGGAACATTTTCAGAGGTAGTCTTCGTAAATACTTTAAAAAGATTATGTACTCAATCTATACTATATCAAACATTTTCATATAGATATAATTCGTATAAAAATAAGATCTTGGTGTACACAATGATATACATATAATGCGTTCACAAATATACTAAATTAATTATCAGCTCAGGTATGTTTATAGTCTATTGAGAAAATGAATAAACTAAACACTTGCTTTTCTTTGGCCGTCCAGTTGTAGGTACAGATAAACTTTTGTCTTAGATAAGCTTTAAATAAAATTATAAACAAACAAAATGCATATCGAATAAAAATACCAATAAGAACTATTTTAACTCTTATAACGTTTTTTTACGAAATGAAGAACAGAACTCTTTATTCTTTCTCTTTAATGCGAAACAAAATAAAACACTTGTTCCCAGCTGTACTTCCAAATTACTCTCCACATATCGTATGTCCACGCGGCTGTCAATCCCCTGCTATTCATCGCGCTACATCGAGCTTTGCGTCGTGCTGCGCTGCAGCTCTGCTGTGGCTGCTGCGTACATTGGAGTCAGTTTGTGCTCGCCTTGACAGCAGCTGGTAAGTTAAAGAAAGAGCAAGAAGCTAATCTGCTTCTGTGTACTGATGGGCTCAGTGTCTAATGGTATCAATAAAGGGCTAAGAATAATCAATGGGCTGTGTATTTAATCCCTACCTGGTCTCAAATGTTTCTAATCATGTCGGATTTGTCGAAATTTGTCCACATCCACCGTCCACAGATAAAGAGTTACACAGACAAACAAACAAACAAAAAATACTTTATTTTCATCACAATGTTACAAAATAAACTTAATTAAAAAAAAATGTAGCGAGAAAAGGCGGCCTTATCGCTACAAAGCGATTTTTTCCAGGCAAACTTGAAGATGGAGATTTACAATAATAAATGATAATAATAAGAGTAATACTACAGCTATAATAAGTTTATACAATAAGTATGTTATTATCAAATATGTAAACTATGTACATAAGTGAGTTAAAACAGATAATGTTTCGTTGCGTTTCGGTTATGTCAGTGAATTTTTGAATAAGCCAAAATAGATTCGCGACGTATTTTGCTTTGGTGTTATATGAGTGGGGATATCTCACCTTCCATCGCAAAATCATACATAACCAGTGAGTTTAGGTGAGTATTTCTTTCCAGCTCAATCACCCCTGGCTCCATCATCGTTCTCACCAGCGGCCGCTTCACCAGAACCGCCGCCGGCCCCCCCTCCTCCCATGGCGCCCCCCGCGCCTCCCGCACCGCACCCCGCGCCTCACACGATGATGGTAATTACCTCTTATATGTAAGTGTTCACCTCATACGTGGTTTATCGCACCATCCTGCATCCACCCCGTAGTTTGTGACCCTTGGAATGCGAGATTAATCCTGTTCATTCGATTTTACTGAGAGTAAAGGCCTCTGCACACTATACCGTAAAAAGTATACGACCGTAATAAAAGCAAGAATATATAGAGTGTACTATTTTACCGTCTAAATAAAACACTTTTAATTATTTATCTTTATTTTATTTTAATTACGGTCCGGCGCTAGCAGCCAAGGCCACGAGAGCAGAAGATAACTAATATATATTGTGTTTGGAACCGTTGAAAGTGGTTTATATTTGTACTATTCGCGTAAATTACTGCCTATAATTGGTGTTTTACCGACAACAGTATTGTGATTCAGGCACCAAGTATCGTATAATGTAATAACAATCAATGATTGATATGTAATATTCATATTTACTTTCTGGTTTAGCGATCTAATATGAGTTGTGGTCTTCGAGACTACAAACTGCCGCCTTCAAATATTTCCTATTAAAATATTAATACAAATTAATTAAAATATTATTAATTTATTAAACAAAGGAAATACTATCATTCACTATATAGGCCGGCATTGTTGTTGTAGTAGCAGTGGCAGGAGTGGGCAAAATTTTAGTTCGAAATTTTTAAACTTTAGATGTATGTGTCATCACGTAGCCTAACTCCGGGCACCAAATGATGTGTATGTGTAATACATTTCAAACAATCGCAGTGTGTTACGGCGTGGTAAACAGATGCCTTAACATCCCATTATACCTTTCAAATACAGCGATAAACGGGATTCAATCAATCCTTTTTCAATTTTATTCGAGCTTCGAATTGAGACGTCAAAATAGGAGGTTAATTTACATATCATACTAAAAAAAGGAGGCATATACATTAAATTTAAAGACAATGAGTTTTCAAATGGGAATGCTTATTTCAGGCCACAAACGGACAATCGCTTGTAGTACATTTTTCCAGTATAACCGTTATTAGATTATGTGTGTAGTTTACGCGAGTAGTAGACATTTAAATAAAACACTAGCTTTAAATTTACGCTTGACGCTTTGCAGAAACCGTGCTGTAAAGCATCCGAAACGTCGGGTCAGCAGTAAAAATAATTTTCAATAAGTTTAACTATTATTTAAGTTATATCGCGTTTCAAACCTTTAGTGTATTTTATTTAAATACGTTAACATCTTTTAATTATAAATAATCCATTAAAACATATTTTTATATACACCGGAAGTAACAAATGGATATTTGCCGTCCATTTTTGGCCTGAGTCTCTATAGATAACGAGCATTTTCATTTAGTTATACTCAGTTTTGAACATAGTTGTCACACACAAGATGCTATAGAATTAATATTCACTTTCATTCCACGGGTTTCAACCTCCACCCTCTCATGGTTTAGTTCATTATTATCATTTTAGTTCTTAGAGAACCGTGCTTACACTTTAGCGTTTGGCCTTCCATAGACCCCCAGAATTTACTTTCTCACATCGTACTAATTTTCTCTACGTTTTTTTAATATTCAGGTTAACTTGTTTAAATGTTGGCAACACTCCTCAGCTTCCAAGCTACAAGGGATTGTATTGTAGGATCCTTGTCTATTCATATACAGTCTACTATTGATGTTACCCTTATATCTAATTCAATTGGCTTCCGTCTTCTTTATGAGCTTCTGCCGCCGAAATACCGTTTTACCAAGCGAGTGTATAAACTATTTAATTGTTATGTGTCAAAATAAATATTGGGGCAGTTTAAACTTTCTTTATAAGTAAATTAAAAATCGATTTTAGATATTTACGACATGGGATTACTTGAACCGGTATCCATCCATCTACACGACAAGGACACGGTAGCTTATTTAGTAAGAGCAACAGCACGGAACTGTGGCAGCCGTTTCAAGTCCTGCCCGTGTTGTAAAATATTTTGACTATCTAAAATCGATTTTTTATTTATACAGTTCTATTACGTGACAATATGAAAGTTTTCTCGATAGTTCGCAATTTAACGGTATTTTTAATTTCACGGCGGCACATGGTGAAAATGCATGGTTCCAGTCTTCGCGACAACGCTTTGCGCTACTTCCAAACCTTTCTATGTCAAACGGATGAGTTCTCTTTGAAGCCTTCCTTCCACTTCCGCGAGTTAGTGTCCGTTCCTTAGTTGATCATTCGGTAGTGCCCCGTCCTAGTTAACGATCACATCTCGATCTCAGAGTTGGGAAGTTGAGGAGTGTGACGCTGAAAGTATGTCGAGTACACGTATACAGGGAGACGAGGATATGATGGAGTGGAGCAGTGTTCGGAGACCACGCTCGCCGAGCCCTCTACTGCCTGCGATATAAACTAGCCTTCGCGTGTAACTGACTGCACTGTAGTGTGTATGGTGAGAGTGTGTGTATAGTGAGAGTGTGTGTGGAATGCCCCACCGAGAACCAATTCCTAAAAACATTTATAATCCCAAGTCAAATGGCGTGTCGCTGGTATGTTCTCGCTAAATAGCAATTTGGTAAAAGCACAACCGATCATCATACAGATACAAAACAAGTTGGGGTTTGTAGTAATAGGATAGTTTCAAATGTGTCTTTGACACCAAGAACTATTGCATAAGAATATGAAGTGTACATGGTGGAGAATCATTGTAATTAATTGTAATGAAACTAATTATAAGTCTAATTCAAGATATTATCTTCTAGAAAATGTCGTCTTCGTTTACCTAACTGTAACTTTTCAAAATTTATCACTGAAAAGTTTAAATCGCTCTTTTTAACGACATCCTTGCGATCTTTTTTATTCGTGCATTAGCAAGTCAAGCCAAGAAGAGTAATAATTTTTATAACTATTTTGAAACACTGTACTTCGTTTTGCTTTAAGTACCTCTATATATTTATTACTTCATGTCTTACGCCAAACTTGTGCCAAATCTACTTTAATTTACTTCATCCGTATACGCTACAAAGACTTTATAAACTCTACAACAAAATCTAGTGATAGTGTTTTGTTTAAAGAAGTTTTAAATTATATATAAGTGAATATGTTTAAAGTAAAACTCTAGTTTACATTAAGTAATCTGAATAAAAACATTATTTACAACTACGTTATTCTGTATTATTCAAACATATAATATAATAAATTAATTGATATACCATACAACCATATAAATAAAACTGTATATATTGATAAAATTAGCTGTATTCATTTATTTAACTAGTCCTACTTAGGGATACAATTAACTGTAATTAAAATATAATTCATATTATAATTGTTGTATATAGGTAGTTGTGAATTAATATATCGTATGTATCGTACATTTAATAAACAAAGAAAATAGAAAATTACTATATGGTATAAGTTGTAGCATTTTGAGATACTATCTGAAATGCTACGCTTCGCTGTAGCAGCGCCGTACCAACTTGCTGACGGCGTAGACAGTCTCGTAGCATCTGCCCTAACAAACCGGGTCTAGAAGATAACGTCAACGGTTTTGTAATCTCGCGTGTAAATTTTTTAATATTCGCTATAATCCATCTTATCTACAAACCTTTAAGATAAGTAAAATTTTAAGATACGCGACATTATTGCTCTTTACAGACGACTGAACAAGAAAACTTGTTTCACGATATAGATATATTGTGTCGCGCAAGATAACCTAGCGAGTGTTGCTATGTAATTCATTTATTTCGATTTTGTATATAGGCAGATCGGCTTATATAACTATACATACTAGTTCGACCATCAAAATATAATTAGATATGTGTTAAAATTTAAAAAAACATATGAAAAGCTCAATTCTAAACATTCCACAGCAATTGTAGTGCCAAATATAACTTATTATATTTTAGTATATGTAAAATTATCAAGTATTATGAATAGTTAAAATATATTTTTCAAATATTGTCTATTATAAATAATACTATTTAGAATATATATTCAAATTATTAACGTAAAAGAGTAAATTTGTCATCTATATATTTTAAAATATAGTTCTGTTAGCTGTACGTGTATGAAATAAGTACATTTTGAAGAGAATAAGTCTATGATAATAAGTTAAGAATGATTGTTTTGTGATAGTTTAGTGCACTTCTAGCCGTAGCATTAGTTCCCTTCTAGCACACTTTGTAAGTAAGATTTCCATCCAATTTTATCTATAAAGACTGATTAATTTTATTGATTTGACGTACCTAAGATGTCAATATACAATTAGTTCTTCAACTGTTATAATTGTTTTATAACCGAGATACGATTTAGTTTCTATCACAACCATACTACTATTCATTGTAATTATATTATATATTGTCTTCATAATAAAAATATATAACTATATTAAAAAATACATAAACAATGATAAATAAAAACGAGTGGGTATGATGTAGATAGTATTTGTTTATTACAAACCATTTATTTATTTAAAAAATCCTATAATATAAAAATGTAAATATAATTTATACAAACGAAATGTTAAACGAGCAACTAATAGGAAATTTATAAAATTGTGTTCTTAATTAAGTGAATTATAAAACGAAAAATTTAAATATGAATTATAATAAAAGAACTATAATAATATACTGTGTGTTTTACTTCTTTATACCTACTCGATTTTTAATTTCTCTGTAAGAATTTTAAAATGTTGCAACACAAGATATTTTTGAAGTTGGTTAAAATATGATGTTTTTGTAATTCACTAGACTGTTGTGGCAACTGTAAACTGAGTTCTTCTTCTTCTCGTATTAAAAAGATTCTTTAATTTTATAATAATGTTGTGTACTGAGCGGTCAGTGTGTAGTTTAAACGGAAAATCCAAATTACTTACTTTTAATTTATATTAACGCACGGACGTATTCGTATGATATGCAGCAGTCATGCTCAAGGGAGACTAAAAATAGAGGATGTCCCTAACATCCAGTGAATCTTGATATTTTTGATTTAGATCAGACGAGCTCGATCGATCTCAAGCAGTCGAGGTCGATTCGACGTCCTTACGTAGATTATATTAAAAAGTTCTTAAAATCCTACATTTTCCTAAAATAATAATTGCAAATATAAAGAAATTATTATAATATACGTTCACATATTACCTATCTTAGGTTTTTGAAGATTCTATAGATATTCATAAAATTCATTCTGGTTCGTAAAGTTGTTCTTTATAGGACCAGGCCTAACGAAATCATAATTGGTTGTATTGGAAATAAAATATGAACATTCTTTATCCTTACGAGCAGATAGCGTGACAGAAAACAATAAAGAACAATAACCGATACGATTGAGTGAGGATAAACTTAGATAAACTTTGAAAAACAATATTATTTATAGTCTTCAGTTTTCCCGTATCTGTTTTCTTTTCAAGAAAGTCTGATAAACGTGACGTAATGCTTCGATTGCAGATGGGTTGTATCAAATATTGTAGTTTACGTAAGAACGCATTTAAATAAAAAATTATTAACGGTTTTAAACGCGAAATATATTTTAACTTGTTTACAGAGACTACGGCCCGTCAATTTGAATACTCTGCAGCAGTTGCAAGTTTCAAGTGTGAATACAATAATTGTGATGTACAACTGGGTATCGAACTAGTTCAAATGACAGTGCATGCTGCTAAGCTAACACCATTTTACAACACTATAGGAACTTTAACATTTTCCACATGAATTAAAAATCGATAATAATTTGAAGAATTTACGAATAGGGCCGGACTTGTACCTGAACCGTCAACGTCTCGTGCTGTTGTTTTAAACAATTCAGCCACCGAGTCGAACATTTGTTCAGTGTATAGTTTTTAACATAATGGGGGACATAGAAAGAAAAATAATTGTTTTAAATTAAAAACTATGTATGTCCATATCATTAATCAACCTGAACCCCAAAATCTACATACATTATGTTTAAATACTAAATGTTTACTAATATAATGATTATTCATAATTATATAATTAATTCTTCATTCAGAGCAATTTCGCCAACAGCTGTTTCCAAGCTATGGCTGTATTGAATCAACTTTGGCGGTGCATAATTACACTTACATAATAATTTCCCTAATGACGCCGTTATACAGTTTAAATTTTGTAGTCATCCTATAATTTTTTTAAATACTTATCAAGTATTTTGAAAAATTGAAAGAAATTGAAAAAGACGAGGGATAGAACCAGTGGCAAACGCTTTGCTTCCCTAGCTTAATGGTGGAAAGTATTGCCTAGCATTGAGTTAAGTGCGTAAGGTAAACAATAAAATGTTTGTTCGGGCAGGGCGCAGTGAAACGGACGCAGGAATGTTTTTACCCCATGCCCCACGGGGGAAACGGAGCCGACCCTGTGGAGCCTTTTTAACAAACCACAATGAACTGTTTTACTTACTTTTAATCAGTGATCTGTTGATAGTTTAACAATTTAAATTCTTTGTACATTATAACAACAGTGAATTCAGCTTACGTACAACAAATAGATAATCTTCTGAGGAAATGCGAAAATAATAGGGCGCAGATAAGGGCTTAATTATAACAAGGGCGGAATGTTCGTGACGTCACCTCTTTGAATTGAATTCCTCTGCCCTGTGGTTTTGTGTGACCAACATTTTTCCTAAGTACTTGCTTCGTCGAATTTAGTAGAATGTAATACGCGAGATGTATCAATAGGTTGAGAAAATTCGCCGATGACGTGTAGAACACGCCTTCACGTCATCTTGGCTCAGTTGGTTAGAGCAACAATTTGCAATCGGGCAGGACTTGAACCGGCATCCACTCGGGCTCACCGTGCTGCTCACCGAATAAACTATTTTCCACCGTGTAGTTGGAGCGGTAGCACAGAACGCTGTGGATGTCGGTTCAATTCCCGTCCGTTAAGTATTTTTTTAATCTAAATAGATTTTGAATTTGTACAATATTATCATGCTGTCTATGGTTTACGCGAGTAGTACACATTTAAATGAAACACTTTAACGGTTTAAAACGCGATATATTAGTTAAACGTATTTGGAAATGATTTTTACTGCAAAGCATCCGAAACGTCGGGTCGAAGTTAAAAATCATTTCCAAATAAGTTTAACTAATATATCGCGTTTTAAACCGTTAACGTGTTTTATTTAAATACAATTATGATGTGCAAAGTATAAAGATTTCAAAACTGTTACGATTTTCCGGGTATCGATTCCTCATGCCTTTAATGCATAACTACTGAGCCACAGTCAACGAAAGCAGCAAGAGAAAGAAGAAGAACCTCGCTATTCATACTTCCATGTACCATAAAACACGACGGGTCGTAGTGTTAATATCGTTAACGAAGCATAATATCCCGGACCGCTTTTACGAGTGACATTCATTTGGATTAAAACGCCCTTCAATCATCGTTCTTGTCGC